GGGCTGTTCCCTCCACTGCTCACTGCCCTGGTCCCCCAGATGGGACAGTCACTCACCCGACCAGGCCCTGGAAGGGGGTCATGCAAGAATTCGAGCAGCTCTCAGCTGCTGCGTGCACTTGGGGCACACCCCTGGCACCAAGCCCCTGAGAGGAAAGCGGCCGCACAATAGGAACCCCCCAGCTGTCCCACCCAGCAAGCTGCAATGCCCAAGCCCCCCTACCTCACCCTGGTCCTGAGCTAGCACCCACGAGATGTGCCACAGTAGGTGGCCCACAGGAACGGTTGGGGGCAACAACCAGGGTAGTCTTCAAGTCCCTTGGCGGTGCCCAGCTCCTCTGCCCAGGCTCAGGGCATCGGTAACCCTAAGCACCTGCAGCTCTCCCACAGGGTCCCTGGCCCATGGGCCAGTGCAGGGGGTGGGCAGTGCACACCTGCTTCGAGTCAGGAGCCGCTCGTCAGTTCTGTGTTGCAGATGAAGTGCTGCTCTGGCAGTGTCCTGCCTGCTTGGTCAGGTGGATAGGTGCTGCACCACGCAAGCACCCAGCCAGGCACAAGCAACAGAATCCCTTAGAGCCAGCAAGCATGCACGCCCCATTCCCTCAGACACGGCTGTCAGCGCCTGTAACCACCGATGCCCTGCCCCGTGCACTTGGACCACACATGGGGCACCTGCGAAGCCACCACATAGCCAGGCCACTGGCCATGATCACATTCAGATGCCCCCAGAGCCCACTCAGAGACTATCAGGGGCACCAGGACCACTGGAGGAAGGCCTAACAGGTGACCAGCACACCCTAGGGCTGCAAAAGGCTGCGGGAGATGGATGAAAAACCACTGAAATTTCAAGGCTTTGTCAGGAACGTCCAGAGAAGCGGCTCCAGCCGCGCCCTCCTGCGCCCTCTGGAGACGAGACCTGACACCGCACCTGCTGTCCACAGGCCAAGGCGGTCTCTACCGCCAGCAGGGCACCAGCAGGGCACGGAGCCCGCAGACACACCGCGCCCATACCGCTGGTGGGGGCAGAGGGGCGGAAGGACTGACTCCTCTTGGAACCGTTTGGGGCTGCACGCTGGCCCTCGCGCGCTATGCTCCCTTTCACGTGCTATGCTCCCTTTCACACGCTATGCTCCCATCCACGGAGGTGCCCCTCGGCCAGCGGCCACACGCCCTCAAGGAATGGGAGGAACTCACCCTCTGGCCCTTCTTGGTTTTCCCACCTTGCACAGAGCCGACTCGCACGGGGTGGCAGGAACTGCCGGGCATACAAGTACGGGGCCCAAGGGAGACTGAATGACCGCAAGCGCTGATCTCTCACAAAAGCCTGCCCACGGAGGGGAGGACAGGCCTTCCACCCGCTGCTTCACTGCCCAGCTGGCTGCAAGAGACCAGGCCAGGACAAAGTCCACAGCTTTTCCCCGCTACCCTCCCAGACCATCAGCTGCATGGAAAACGGAGCAGCGGCGTCTCCAACCAGTGCCCTTAAGGGATGCCAGCACTCCAGGCAGCTTTACTTGCTGTCACGATGCCATGCCCCCACCCCTAGTTTTTAAAATTTATTTTTATTACGAAGTCAGATATATAGAAAAGAGACAGAGAGGAAATGCTTCCATCCACTGATTTCACTCCCCAAGCTCTGGCACGCAACGGCCAGAGCTGAGCCAATCCGAAGCCAGAAGCCAGGAGCCTCCTCCAGGTCTCCCACACAGGTGCAGGGTCCCAAGGCTCTGGGCCATCCATGACTGCTTTGCCAGGCCACAGGCAGGGAGCTGGATGGGAAACAAGGCTTGTAAGTGTATTCAATGAAATAATAAGGAGAAATTTCTGTAATCTAGAGAAAGAATTGGGAAACAACATCCAGGAGGGGCACAGAACTCCCAACAGGCTTGACCAAAAGTGATTTTCACCACAACACATGACAATCAAACTCTTCAGTCGAACATAAGGAAAAGATCCTTAAATGTGCACGTTAAAAAAAATCAACTGACATACAAAGAAATGCCAATTAAAATCTCACAGAAGGGCCCAGCGGCGTGGCCTAGCGGCTAAAGTCCTCACCTTGAACGCACCAGGATCCCATATGGGCACCAGTTCTAATCCCGGCAGCTCTACTTCCCACCCAGCTCCCTGCTTGTGGCCTGGGAAAGCGGTCGAGGACGGCCCAAAGCCCTGGGACCCTGCACCCGCGTGGGAGACCCGGAAGAGGATACCCGGAAGAAGTGCCTGGTTCCCGCTTCAGATAGGGTTAGCACCGGCCGTTGCGGCTCACTTGGGGAGTGAATCATCAGACAGAACATCTTCCTCTCAGTCTCTCCTCCTCTCTGTATATCTGACTTTGCAATAAAAAATAAATAAATCTTAAAAAAATCTCACAGGAAACTCTACAGGCCAGAAGAGAATGGAGTGACATATTCCAGATTCTAAAAGCAAAAAATTGTCTTGAAAATGAAATTCCTGCACAGTAAGGAAGTTACAAGAACACACCTCTTGCAAACCTGCCCTACAAAGGATAAAGATGTTCTCTTGACTAAAAGAGGAACAGCACCCACCAAACTGAAGGCAAATGTGAAGAACATCCCAATAAAATAACAGGAGGCGAAATCAATGAACAACCCATTGCTAAAATAACAGGACCAAATTACTACCCATTCATATTAACCCTGAATGTAAATGGCTTAAACTCATCAATCAAACTAATCATAGATTAGTAGACTGGATTAAAAAACAAAACCCATCTATTTGTTGCCTACAGGAGACACATTTCAACAATAAAGATCAGGGGAAACTGCATCTCACGGGTTTTGTTCGTTTCATCTCTTCAACACTTTCTTCTGATTACATTCCTCACTGACTCATAGACACACAGAAGCATCATTTTCTTCAAGAAGGTTCTTGATTTTCATTTCTTCAGCGACACATTAGTCATTCAATAGCATGTTACTTAACTTCATGGCATTGTAAATTTCCATTTTTCTTCCTGTTGTTGATTTCATTTTGTGGCCTTTCATTTAAGGGGACGTATAGTAACTGTGTAATGGAGACTGTCATATCCAGATGTGAGGATACAATGCAGTGTGCATCTCTACTTCCCGACAAAGATGGACTCCAATGAAACTGTTCACTCTATCTTGACAACGGGATCTGGACTCTGCCACTGTCCATGCCTGCACTGATGGACATGACTGTATGAGCAACTGTACCACAGTAATGATACAGGGGAACTCAGTGAGGGGAAGAGAATTGGGGAAGGGGTAATGGAAATCTCAGGGCCTATGGAACTGGATCATAAGATGATAATAAAAATAATTAAAATTTTAAAAAGAAAACAAAAGATTTGGCATGGTGGCTCAGCAGGCTAATCCTCCACCTTCAAATGCTACGGTGCCAAGGGCACAGGTGCCGTCTGCTCCACTTCCCATCCAGCTCCCTGCTTATGCCTGGGAAAACAGTGGGAGATGATTCAAGTTCTTGGGACCCTGATGCTGCAAATGCTTAGGAAGGAAGCCAGGGTCTGCCTGCCCAGCCAGATTCTGCCTGCCCAGCCAGATTCTCTCTATGGAGAGGCAGGAGGAAACACCCAGCTACAAATAAACAAAACATCTCCAGAGTGAGACAGAGGTCTAAGGCCCCTGTTCCTAGGACGCAGTGCTGATTGCAAACAGGCAGTGGTCCTGGGAGGCCCCCTTGGGGTCCAAGGCATGGTGCTGTCTGACCACCCTGGCACACATGGGACACCAGAACATCCCCCCACCCGACCGATGGGACAAGCTGGTGCTGGGTCAGCAGCAGGCCCAAGTGAGTGGCAGGTGCATAGCCAGGGCCCACAAGGACCCCTGCCCTCCAAGCCCAGGCCCAATGATGGCACCCTGTAGGGTGCTCTAGTAGACTCAACTTCCACATCCGAGCGGCACCTCCACACCGTGGCCCGTCCGAGTCCAGCGTAACAACAGCTCCACACCTTGGCCCATCCGAGCCCAGCCCAGCAACAGCGCCACACCTCCATACCCTGGCCCAACAGAACTCAGTCCAGCGGCACCTCCGCACCCTAGCCTGGCAGAGCCTGCCCCAGCTGCACCTCCACAGGCTGCCCCAGCAAAACCTGGCTCCAGCCTAACACGTCCTCAGGCCCAGGTGTGACGCCATCCGCCCCCTGGCCTTGGCACGGCTCAGCACGGCTCCTCCTGACCCCGTCCTGTCCTCCACGGTGGCCTCAGGGCAGCCTTTCCCAGGAGGGGCAGCAGCCTTGGGGAGGGAACAGCAGACAAAGTGTCTGCCAGGCACTGGACAGAAACAACCCAGAAAGACTTTTATTTCCAGTTTCCATGGAGATATCACAAACAACATAGACTTAAAAGAAAAAGCAGTTTAAGTTTTAAAGTAAAAATGTGAGCAGGCAACGCAATCAACACTGCCCCTGACAACCGCCCAGCTGGCCGTGCCCAGGCCTGGGGATGCAGGAATGAAATGGCCACACCATCCAAATTGTGACTTTATTTTTAATATAAAAAATGCAAATTTGGAAACCCACCCTGCTTCCCCCCAACATAATGCTTTACCTCTTAAAAATAAAAATAAAGTACTAATTCTATATACAGCACATGTACCATACAAAAAGGTACCCCAAGTCTCTATTGCTACCAAAGTGTTTCAAATCAAAACGAGTTACAGAAAGGCCCTCGTGTAAACAGGAGTACAGGTTACAAATCAGAGCACACACAGGCCAGGTCATGTACAGCCACGCAACCAGCTTCAGTCTTCATGTGCCTGTATAAAAAGCATATTCAATATACCTTTGCAAATTTATCTTTCATTATAAAGCAAATGGATACAGTTTCTACAATAAATAATCCGGCGGGAGGCACAACTGTGGGAGGGGGGGAAGCAGAGGGGCCAGGTGGGTGGAGAAGGGGGGAAACGGAGGGGCAGGTGGGTGGAGGAGGGGGGAAGCAGAGGGGCAGGGGGGTGGAGGAGGGGGAAGCAGAGGGGCAGGTGGGTGGAGGAGGGGGGAAGTGGAGGGGGCAGCTGCCCACCCCAGGGCCCAGGCCGCACACGCCGGCGTTGCACCTCTTTGCACAAAGTACCATTCAAAATAATGTCATTTTCTTCCTAAAATACACATTTATCATCATAAATTTACATCCCATCTTATTAAATAAGTGGTACTCTGTGTAAAGAGTAGAATTTACAAAATTACTAAACATTCAAAAGTCTTTTTTTAAAAAAGCTACAGATCAAAGCGAGCGAGGCCAGGGCACAGCCGGCAGGTAGCGCCCACGCGCGAGGCGTGGCCCAGGTGGAGCGTACAAAACTTGGAACCAAAACCTCCCCCTTCCCCGGGGAAAAAGAATTAAAGAACTATGACTAAAAATCAGAATAAGTTAAGTTTTGAACAATATACAAGTCTGTACAGCGTATGAACACTATGGACAGGGCCCGCGGCCGGCACGGGCGGGCAGCTCAGTCGATGTCGCTGAGGTCGCTGGCCGGCTCCCCGTGCACGCGGCTCAGGTGGTTCATGGCCCGGTCAAAGGCGACGCGCACGGCCTTGCGGATGCTCGAGTTCCGCCCTTCCATCATCTTGAGCTTATCGATGGTCTCGTCGATGCCGAGCGGAACCATTTTGGATTTCGGAAGCCACTGCCTGTTTCCAAGGAGAAAGGACAGAGCCCCTGAGGGAGGCTGGCCGGCACCTCCCCCGCCACGTGCCCCTAACCCTCCTCAGCAGCCCGGCCACGAGACGGCCAAACCTGAGGGGCATGGCACGGGGGCCTCAGAGCCCAGAGCCCTGGGTGGAGCACTCACAGCATCACACCTCAGAGGTGCCAGGGTCAGAGGGCAGGGCACCTCCATGGGCCAAAGTGCCTCAGAACCCAGCACTGTGCCCTGGACAGAGACAGGAAGGACCTGTTCAGAACACAACCAGCGGTTGGCAAGCAGATCTCCAGACTCCACCCAATCAGGAACTCAGGCAGCCCTAGCTCTGCCCACTGCAGTGTGCCCACAGGGACCGACCCCAGAGCGGCTGTGCCCACAGGGACCGACCCCAGTGCGGGTTGTGCCCACAGGGACTGACTGATCCCCAATGCAGGCTGTGCCCACAGGCACTGACCAACCCCCAATGCAGGCTGTGCCCACAGGGACCGACCCCAGAGCGGGCTGTGCCCACAGGGACCGACCCCAGTGCAGGCTGTGCCCACAAGGACTGACTGACCCCCAATGCAGGCTGTGCCCACAGGGACCGACCCCAGAGCGGGCTGTGCCCACAGGGACTGACTGACCCCCAATGCAGGCTGTGCCCACAGGGACTGACCGACCCCCAATGCAGGCTGTGCCCACAGGAGCCTCCACTCACCAGCTCCTCTTATTATCAAAGAACAGAACCAGAAACAGCTTCTCGTCCGACTTGGTCTGCATGTGTTCCCCGATCTTCAGCACGTCCAGGGGGGGCGCTGGGATGGTAACACCATTGTGGTGGCCAGGCACACGTGGCATCTTGGGGTCAATTATCTGCCAAGACACACAGCCCGCTCACACCGAAGCACCTGCACCGCAGCCACACAGCTGGCTCAGCTGCCGCCAGGACAGGCCCAGCAGGGCTCCTCCCGCTGAGGAACTCACCAGGGCCGGGTAGGAGGGGTAGCCGCTGCACTTGGCCCACACCACCTTCAGAGGCTCCAGGACAGAGGCTGCAGCTTCCGTGGATATCCACATGCTGTTCTGACCCACTTCTGGGGAGAGAAGGAGCCCTGTGAGCCCGGGGGACACGAGCACCCAAGGACCCCGCAGCCCTCCTTCAGGCCTGTCTGCCTCAAGCAGCCCCACTCTTCCTGTGGAGTCCAGGCTCAGGCACCCCATTGCCAAGGCTCTCAACACCACACCACACCCCAGTGGCCTCTAACCCGCCCCCTCCCAGCCCAGGAGCTCAATGGTCTCAGCAGTGTGACGGGAGCCCCTCCCCGCCCCCCGAGAAGGCCCCAGAGACTCACCAGCCGCAATCCTGGCTGCCTTGGCATAGTTGCCATTCTCGATACACGAGATGAGCTCACTGCGGTCCTCCAGCGTGTGCCTCCGCACCAGGGCAGGCTTGCCGCGCCCACACTTGGGCACACTGAAGCTTCAGGGGGAAAAGCAAGGTCAGGCCAAGGCCCACACTCTGGCCAGGCCATACACTGAGCTGAACCTGCAGGCCAAGGCCATGCAGGGCAGGGGAGTGGTGGGCGGACTGAACTGTACCAGTGCAGCCTCACGCTGCCACAAAGCACGTCACTACGGAGCAATGAAGACACACACGCCCCGCCAGCGACCGGGCACCCACCTGGACTCGCAGAGCGGGCTGCTGCCGGACGAGATGCTTGACTCAGAGGCACAGCGCCGCCGGGGAGCGGCTTTCTTGCCTGGCTCCTGCTCACTCCTGGAGCCCCCAAAGCCATTGGTGAGACCTGGAAACACAGACGAGCAAGACCGCGTCAGCCTCCGCCATTCCTGCCCAGGCAGTGAGCCCCTCCAAGGTGCCCCCAACAGAGGAGGGTCTCTGCTCACCCCCACGGCGCACTCCCGCCCCCAGCCCCGAGAACACAGGAGCCCTCACCCAATCACACGGACACGACGGCGCAAGCCTGCCAAGGGACCCCCTCCACAAAGCAGAATTCCCAAATCATAAGCTGGGCCACCACAGTAACAAAGCAACCCCAACAATGAATCGCCTTCGGAACACCCTGCTTCAAGCTGCTCACAGGATCGTCCACCACCCCAAAACCAGCGGCACCACAACCCAGAGTGTGTGCGCCCCTGGGGGAGTCCAGCCGCGGGGGGGGGGGGGGGGGGGGGGGGGCAGACCGGCTCTCTCACTGGACAGAACCCGACACAATCCTGTATCATCTCCCTGCCAGCCAAGAGGGCACGGACCCCCGGCCTCCCTGGCTCAGGCTCCTCAGGGTGGCATCTGGGCAGGGCCACTCCGTGGGGGAGCACAACTCACTGCCTCCCCGGGGCCAGGGGCCAGCGTCTGCCCAGACAGGCAGGACACCCAATGCCCCACCAGACCCCCACCCGCTCAGTGCAGTTCCTGGACGAGGCCAGGGACAGAGAGTGGCGGGCTCGGGGGCCACAGCAGGCCACAGGACAGCGAGGCTCCAAATGGCCCAGTCCGGGTGGACAGCCATTGTCCTGGAGGGGGTCTGCTGAGAAGGAGAAAGCCCTGGAGTGAGCGGGCCACTGCAGGACACCCCGGGTGTCCACACCCAACTAGGACCAAGTGCCTCGCATGCATGCAGGGCTCCTGGCCAGGGGCCTCAGCCCAACTTCTGGCCTGCACTGGACAGCAACCTGGGCCAGGCAGATGGCAGGCGACAAGGAGACAAGTCATCTCCCTCCACGTGTGTGCCAAGAAGGGACAAGCAGCCGGACTATTGCTAGCCCAGCCCACAGCAACAGCTGGGAGCGCACCCTGTCAGGACAGCGGCCATGAGGCCCCCCCAACTCCTCACGGCTCCCCCTCCTCAGAAAAGGCACAGTAGAGAGTCACTGACAGCGCCACAGGCCACACATGACATCACCAAGCACCACAATACAGGACGCCTGACAGAGGGCCTGGGGCCTCCCACGGCAAGGGCGCCCCAAGGCGAGGCCCAGCTAATGGCCAGCTCTGCAAGGTGGCCATCCAGGGGACAGCAGCAGCCGACACCGGACAGGGAAATGAACTGGGAAGGTCCTGCAGCAGCAGGGGGAGACAAGGACGGCCCCACCACGTGGCTTCTCTCGGGCATCTGGAGAGGAGAGCCAGGAGTGGGTGCCCAGGGCACACCACAGCTCCAGTCACACACACACATGCAACAGGCAAGGAGTTTCCTGCCAAGAGCTGATGCCCTACGCTGGGAGCTCACACAGAATCGGGCGCTAATGGGCTACCTCTGAAGGGGCCAGCAGAGGCCTGCCAGCACCCGTTGCTTGAGCAGGCTGAGACGCCAGCCTGAATCGCAGGGCACAGCAGCGGGCTGCGAACCCTCCCTGCTGGGCTTGGGGCCGCCAGGGCACACCTGCAGGTGCCCCTCAAACCTGTCACCTGGGCCTCTTTGGAGAAACCAGGTACTTTGAGGTGCGTCAAGCCCAGGCCCCTACCTGCTCGGGGCTGGGGGGGTGGGGGGGCACCAACACGGCAACGCCCACCAGGCCACAGCCACACTGTCACTGCCAACCGCCACAATGACTGCACTACAGGTACACTTGGCTGCCCCGCAACAGACACTGCACTGAGATGCAGCCCGCCCCACCGCAGAAGGAGCACAAGACCACAACCACCAGGAATGGCGGTCAGGGCTGCCGACAGCCACCGGAACCAACAGGAGCAAGCAAGGAAAAGTCGCCAAGGCAGAACTGGGCAGAAGACCAGAGACTGGCAATATGGCAACAGGCAAGCAAGGCAGAGACCACACAGGTCCTTCTCTGAACACACAGGCAGGTTCCTTCAGAGGCCACCCTACTGCCCTGACCAGAGCCTTGGTCCCCACAGGCCACTGGGACACTTAGGACAGCCTCGGGACAGCTGCGTAGCGGCTGGGGAGGCTGGCCTGGCACCCTTCACCTCTCTCCTCATGGCTCATGGCAGGCAGCAGAGCTGGGGTGCGTCCCACTGCCTGCCCCAGCTTACAGAATGGGGTCGCGGTGGGAGCGGTGGTACCCTCTAGGGCTCGGGTTCCAGTACGACCCATGAGAATCCTGTGCTCCCAAATGGCCACTGCAAAGCCAAGAAAGTAACCAGGACCCAGAGAGGGGCCACCCAGCTCGTGAGCAGAACGAGGCGCCAGCAGGAAGCCAAGCTATCCCCAGGTCTGGCCCAAAAGGAGGGAACCCTGGGCAACGCCCCATGGGAGGATGTGACCCCTGTCCAAGGCAGATGCGTGTGGTGCCTGTGTGCCAGCAGAAGGAAGCTAACAGACGGCAAGCTCCGGAGTCTCAGACACTCAGAGCGCAGCCCCCACGACCACACAGTGAGCCCCAGGCACAAGGTGGGAGGCAGGCCACGGCTGCACAGCCCAAGGACGGGGGAAGCACTTGTCAGTGTAACCGGAAAGCCCACCTGCACTGCCCACCGCCAGAGCGCGCCCCACGAGCCGAGAGCACACAGGCAACTGTTTGGGGAGAAGTGAAGCTCCCAGGACGCACACGCTCACACTGCGAACAAGCACGGTGGAGCCAGAGCACGGGTCCAAGCCGGCGAGCGACTGCGCCCTCAGAGCACCCGGCCCTGCCCTGGCGGCCCTCAGGCCCAAGGCGCTAAGGACCCCACGTGGGGACAAGAGCCAAGGAAACCAACTACCACTCTCGAAGAACACAGATACCTCAGCGAGGGTCAAAGGGCACAGCATCCTTCCAGAAACACACAAGGCTGATCAGACCACCTGGGACCACAGCCACCAGAAACACACCAACACCCCTCTACTGTGTTGAGGGGATACTGAGCGAGGTCACCAGGCTGGCGAGGACCTGTCAGCGGGAGGGGAGCTCAGTGCCTCCCCCAGCGGCCGTGCAGTAGGGTCCCTGAATCCACCCTGCACTCCGTGACCAGGTGGGACGTCAGGCACAACTCCGTGCTCTGAGACTGGTGAGCAGCGGCACCAGGGCCTGGCACCCCCAATCTCTGACCCACTGCCAGCGAGTACTACCTCAGCTACCCTGCAACAAGTGCTGGGGTCTGGCTGGATCTAAGAGCGGCTGAAGCGTGGTGGGAAGACCCCAGGGGCCGGCCAACCCCCCCGATGCCTGCTCCACGCCTGCAGGGCTCCGGGCAGCCCCAGGACTGCCAAACACCACCATGGCATCCTGGCGCCCATCACAGGCCTGATCAGAAACAGGTCCCTGTGCGGCAGTGTGTGCAGAATACGCTCACACGCACATCCGGTCTGAAGGAAGGATTTCCAACACGCACCATGAAGAGCCTCACGTGGGCACTGCGCAGTAGGCAGGCGGACCGGGGGCAGCGACAAGCCCCCCTGCCCAGGCGGCCTGTGGCGCTGGGCAAGGCAGGGGTCAAGAGGCCAGCTGCATTCCCTCCTATCGCCACGTGTCCAGCTAGGACAGCAAGGCCAGCAGCAGAAAGCACTGCAGCCAACCACGCACCATGCACGTAGCTCAGCAGAGAGTGCTCCTGAATGCTCCGTGGGCACAAGGACTCGCCACACAGACCCGCTCAAGTGCCACAGTGTGGTGTGGTGCCAACAACAAAGCCTGGGTGGCTCGAGGCCAGGCCACGGGGCTTACAACGCCCGCAGGGGGAGGACCAGCGCCCGCAGGGGGAGGAGAGGGGCGGTGCAGAGCCGGCAGCACTCACCCGCGTCCAGACGCTTCCCCGGGGACTCCTCCTCCACCTCGGAGTCTCCGCAGGTGCTCCGCGACCTTTTTCTTGGCTGCAGAAGAGTCTCCAACCTCGGAAGGACTACAGACAAAAAGGTTTTGGTCCCTAGCTGAGGAGAAGCTGGCTGGGTCTCAGTGGTCTTGGCAGACTTTGGGGGGCTTACACTTTCCGATTTGCAGAAGACAACAGAGGTGCGTCTGTTTACATCGCTTGCTGGCTCCGCCACCGCGGAGGCCGCCGCCGCCGGCACATCGCCGCTACTGGCGAGGCTGGGCTCTGCAGGGTGTCCGCTCGGCAGTGTGCTCTGAGTGCGAGTGCTATGTGAGGCATTATGGAATGTGACTCTTTTGAATGGTTTACTCTGCTCTGGGCTCAGCTCTACTGGTCTGAGGGCTGGTGGTTCTGAGTTAGTCTCCGGGTTTGAAGGAAGAGGTAATGCATCTGACGGTTCAAGTTTAGGGGGAGATTTATCTCCTGAAAAAATTATAAATAAAGTGATTTTTGAAAACTGAAGATTATAAAATCTATCATAAAACTTACTACAAAAGTGAAGTCCATCAAGACACGACTTGAGTCAGGACACAAAGCATCACACAGAACCGTCTGACGGGCAGCAGGCGGCCTGGGGGCCACGGGCATGCCGTGCGTGTGTCCAAGGCGCGGCGTGCCACCCCAGGCCCAGTGCCAACCGTGACACGTCATCTTGTGCACACCAACATTCAAGCAGCACGCACGCTCACTTACCTGGGGCAAGAAAGGCATTTCACACTACGGGGACCTCAGCCGGGCCTCACCCAGCACGCCCTGCCCTCGGCTCCTGACCAGGCTCCCCAGGCATCTACGTGACCACCCTACCACCTCAGAAAGGCTTGGAAAGCAACCAGCTGCACGCATGATGTGCGCCAGCACCAGGGGCAGCGCGTGCGGCTCAGTGCGCTGGGCCCGAGAGCAGCCACGGCCGGCCCCGCCACACTAGCCGTGTCCCTAACACGAGTGCCTGTGGCTACGGGCAGACTGGCAGGAAGCAGGAGTGACACTCGCTGCTCGCTCACACTGAGCACACTTCTGGGAAATCTACGGTGACCCCGGCCTCACTCAGCAAACACCTTGGGCACAAAGCAGCTCTCTGCCTCCCCCACCCCACCAGGCCGCCGCAGCATGGCTCCAGGCTCCGAGCTCCATACCCCACCGCAGCTGGGCACTGTTATGGTGTGCAGTGTGCCAGTGTGGCCTCTGTGAACTCAGCTCCAGCAGGCCCGGAAGCCGTGGCACAGACGCCTGAATCACACCCACAGGCCACACAGAATCTACTGTCTACACTGCACACAGGCCCCTAGCCAGAGGGGCACTGCAGCCCCAGGCGTCAGGTCTGGCAGCCTCTGGCACGCCTGGGACCAGCAGAGTCCTGACCAGGACCCCGAAAGCCTCTGCAGGCCCCGGTCGGCCCTGTGCATGCAGCCGCAGCAGCCAGGGCAGGCGCTAACGGGGCCTCCTCCAGCCCAGAGCTGCTGCAGATGCCCTCCCCAGCTCCCAGCCCCTGCCGGCCCTGCGGGCTGAAAAGTCCTGTGCCTCACTTTTCAGCACCACCCACCCAGCTGGCTCAGTCCTCAGCACTCCAGGAGACATCCCTGTCCAAGGGGCTGTGTCCCCAGACACCAGCCTCAGGCCCCACACTGCTTGCCCACTCTGCCTTGCTGCAGGCTGGGAGGAGCGAGCCCCAGAACGGCACTCACAGAACAGGCATGACCAGGCCTTTAGCAGACAAGCAGGGGAAGGCTTGTACTTGTGGCCACAGAGAGAAGGCCGGGTCCTGGGGGCCGCTGCTGTGGCATTGCCAGTTAGGCTGCCAGAGGCAGTGCCAGCACCCACAGAAGCACTGGCTCCAATCCTGGGTGCTCCCTGCTAATAACCTGGGAAAGCCATGGAATACGGCCCAAGTGCTTGGGTGCACCCATGTGAAGGACCCAGATGAAACTCCTGACTCAGGGCCCAGCACAGTAGCCTAGTGGCTAAAGTCCTCGTCTTGCAAACAACAGGATCCCATACAGACGCAAGTTCATATCCTGACCGCTCCACTTCCAATAAAGCTCCCTGGTTGTGGCCTGGGAAAGCAGTAGAAGATGGCTTAAGGCCTTGGGACCCTGTACCCGCGTGGGAGACCTGGAAGAAGCTCCTGGCTTCGGTTCAGCTTATCTCTGGCCACTGCGGCCACGTGGGGGAGTGAACCAGTGGATGGAAGATCTTCCTCTTTATCTCTCTTCCCTCACTTTGCAATCAAACTAAATCTTAAAAAAAAAAAAACTCCTGGTTCCTATCTTTGGCCTAATGCAGTCCTGGTCCTTGCAGTCATTTGGGAAATGACCCAACAGATAGAAAACCAGTAGCCTGAATGAGCAATTGCTCGGCTCGCTCTCTCTCACTCGCTCAGTGTAATTGCATGTATGTACGTGTGTGTGCAACTCTGCTTTTCAAATAAATCCAAAACCAGCAGGATTCTGAAGCTGCGCTCACGGGAACTTACCTCAGATACAAGGCAGCACCAGTCTCCTCGGGCCCCTTGGCTAAGGTCACACAACTCGTATGCGACCCACAGGCAGGGTGGCATGGCCCTGCCAACCACTCTTCCCTTGGGAGTCCCTCCTGCACATCCTGTGCCAGGCCTCAGAAGGAAAACCCTCACACGTGACAGTGCACAGAGTCCTAAGCAGAAGGCCTTGGCAGCAAGGCACCCAGTGGGGCTCAGGACTGCATGGCAAGGGGACTTGGGCTAGTCCCACCTGCCACCGCCTGCTGCTCCGAGCCCCCACAGCTGAGGTGCACCCCGGCCTCAGGTGCCGTACAACACCACAGGCACTGTATGAACAGTGTGCACCCAATGCCACACGAGCTAGGTGGCACCCTAAGGCACTGCCTCAAAGCACCGCGAGTGCGCGCTCAGCACCCGGCCAGTGAGCCCAGGCCCAAGCAGGGCTCTCTCTGGAGGCGACTGCCCTCCTCAGCTCAGCTCACCTCACATGGACTGAGGCTCTCTGCTCAGCCCCTTGCCCTCAGGCCCAGACACACGAGACAGCACCAAGCAAAGGGGGCACACTCAGAGGGGGCAGTGGCGAGCTCTCCTCAAGGCCCTCAGACAGAAGAGTGACCAGAGCACCCCAACTCTGCTCCCAGGGGCGGCCACCAAGACCGGGGCCTGAGCTGCTGACAAGCACCCACAGGATGAGACTGGTTAGCCACTGGAGCACCCAGGGACCCAAAAACTCCTCCGAGGACGGAGGCGGTAGACACTCCAGGATGGAGTGTCCAGCCAACAGCATGGCATGTGCTGTGGCGCAGGGAAAGTCTGACCCAGAGCAGATCGCCCAGCCTTTCCACTCCAGACCAGAGCCAGGCTCTCGCCCTCCAATAACTCAGCCAGCACAACCACAAGACAGCCGTGCTGTAGGTTCAGGAGGGAGGCGCATCTGGCAGGCCTCGTCTCCTCTGACTGCCTAACACCACAGAAGGGAGCAGTGAGCGCCGACCACACCACAGTGCACCACGGAATGGCCACGGGCAACACTATGCCCTGCTGGCATCACTCCTACAGAGGCAAACTGCACAGTGACTGCCCACCTCGGCTTAACACAGCTGTTCTGACTAGGAAACACGGGGAAGCCAGTGGAAGCAGCACGGCCGGGCCGGGGCCCCACCTAACCACAAGGGGCTGGCACTGCTCAGGGAAGGGGGCAGCAGCCTGCCTCCCAGGGTCCACGCTCTCAACTGGAGACTGACCTCATGCTGCAGCGCACTGGACACAGCCCACCTGCTCTGTCCTGGCTGACCTGTCCACTTCTCTCCATCCCTAACATCTCTGCTGCTCGCCTCTTCACCTGCCACCACCACAGCCTCGGCCAGGGCCTGGGCGTGGCCACCTCCCACCTGAAACGGAGTGTCACAGAAATACCACTACCACCTCCAGCTCTCCTACGAGGCAGCACAGGCCAGCAGCCAAACAGCACAGACCGTTCGGACCTGCAGCGTCCTTGCAAGAGGAAACCCGAAACTGCAGGGAAGACCCTGTGGCCGAGGGCCGTGGAGCGTCGCAGCCACCCCTACCCCGGGCTCACCTTCGTCCCCTGGCTCCTGCCCTGGGCCAGCGGTGTCCTCTTCTGGGCCTCCAGGCCCCGGCCCCGGCCCCGGCGCAGGGGGCTCGCTGGGCTGCTGACTCAGCTTGTTTCGAAGGAGCGCAATCTCTCTTTTCAGTAGCTTTGCCCGTTTACTCCGTGAGCCGCTGGACTTCATAGCACAAGTGAGGTCAAGTTTCTCCAGCAGCTCCCTCAGCTGCTCCTCCAGGCCCATGTGGGCCCTACTGGCCGGGTCCAGCAACCTGTCCACTGAGCCAAAAGACACACCTGTCAGTCATCAGGTGTTGCACCCCAGAACCTGCCTCTGGGCCCAGCCGCCTCTGAATTCGCAGCTACAGACACAATCTTCCACCTGCTGGTCTACACCCCAGATGCCCTCAGCAGTCAGGATTGGCTGCCAGTGCCCTGGAACTGTCTGGACCTCCCATGCCCTTGACCACCACCTGCAGCAGCAGGACGGGAGGCAGAGGGGCAAGGACTAGGGGATGTGGACTTCTGGCATCCCGACCACGCCCCCCCAACCACCCAGGAACTCTCTCTCAGTCAAAGACCCAAGGAGGGCCGGGCACAGGCCCTGCCCACCGCAGGCCCTCACGAGCCCCTCCCTGTGCACTGCACCGTGAGACCCGGGGCCAGGTTGCAAGAAGACCTCGGGGTGCCCCTCACAGACACCACACCCACCCACACTGCCAGTCACTGGCTGGCAGGTGGCACAGCTCAGGGCTCCAGCCCAGTACTTATGCCGCCCACGCTCATCCTCAGCTCGAAGGCCAAAGGTGACCACTGACAACAGCTGCAGAAATCAAGAATCATCCTGAACCTCCAGCATATTGATGGCATCAGCATTTATACACACAAATTATTCTAAATTAGTCAGCAACGCCCTAGAAGCTACTCTGCAGAGCTATGAGCAGGATCCCAAGACTGTGCAGGAGGGGCAGAGGCCCAGGCAGGGCAGGCCTCAGCCTCCCAAGCCCTGGGCTCCGCCAGCAGCACCGGCCGATCTCTTACGGAGAGAGCGAGGATCAGGTACCAGGAAAGAACAGAACAACCCAGGCTTGGCCCCACGCCATCACATCACACACAACCTCACGGTAACGCCTGAAGCAGCCCCACTCCAGCCACAGGACTCGCAGTCCTGCCTCGCAGTGCGCGGCAGACTGTAGCATGCTTCCTGAGGGAGCCGCCTCAGCAAGGGGCGTGGACTTATTAGAGAATAACCGGGACTCGTCATCTTTGTCTTCTCCCGACCAGACACCCCAGGTGCACCTGCACAGCCCTGCCCTGGAGGCCCCAGCCTCAGGTGTCGTGGCATGCTCAACGCACTGGGCAGAGCCCAGGAACCCAGGGCGCTCCAGGCTGCCCACGAGCAATGGACCCCACGTTCCACAAGGCATCTTGCTAAAGGGAGGCACCCAGCATCTGTCACTACCAGCACTGAGGGGCAAGCAGACAAACAGCAGCCCGGAGTCCAGGCTACACAGGGCCAAACCAGGCGCCATGTGCACCAAACCCACAGGGAGGGGGGAGCAACACTGAGCAGAGCCGAGCATGTGGGGTGCCACAGCCCTGGCCCTCAGAGCAGGGGGCTCTGCGGGGACCACCCCGACTCTGCGCTTGAGCCCCTTCTCCAATAGACAACAGCCAGGAAACACAGACCCCAGCGCTCCTGCCTGGCAAACAGGACAGGAAGCAGGCTCAGTGGCCTCTCGGGGCCCATGTGGCCATGAGCGGGACCCTGCGCCATGCCCTGTGCACAGGGAAAGCAGCCCTGCATCCCAGTGGAGGGAGGCAGAGACGGCGGGCGGGGGTACGCTGCCACCTAGAGCCCAGGAGGGCCTGGCAGGGGACTCCCACCCCAGGGCCCCTTCGGAAGCACAAGCATGCTACATTGCAGCCGGCTGCCAACAGGCCACCCCAAGCTGGCCCACCCCAGGCTTGGCGTGCGCACCACGGACACCTGGCAGCCCGCACAGGCTTCCAGCGGGCACCCGGGCGTGGCTCCGGGCACGGAGCACCAAGAGACGCCTCCTCAGGCCCTGCTGCACAGAGCCCAGGGTCCACTGGAGGAGGGTCCTCCCGGCTCCTCCTGCCGGTTCTTACCGTCTTCCCAGGAGAAAGGCCGCCGAGGGGCCGCCACAGGCCGCTCAGGCAGGTGCATTCCCGAGGCCTCCTCCAAGCCGATGCTGTCCACCTCACGCCGGGCCTGCCTCAGGACAGCACCTCCCTGATCGCGCAGCCTCACTGCGGCTCTATAGAACACGGTGTCCTTGGCATTGTACTTCATGCAGTTATCTACAATGAGATTAAAATCCTCCTCAAACTCATGGAGGTTTTTATACCCTTGGGCTTCTAACCGCTTCCTCATTGTGGCAAAGTCCATGGGATGTTTAATGTGATCCAAATAATCTGGCACCTAATTTCAGGGAGGAAAAATAAGCATTTACAAACTAACAGAGGATTCCTTATTCTCTATTATTCTATATAACTAATAAACCCTTCAAACTTGCAACTGTCATCATTCTATTATTTCACTGTTGCACATCACCAACAACCAACACCCACACACAGTCCAGACTACCTCACACACCACACACAGCAACACTGAGCAGTCACAGTGTCCCGGGGGCCCACGGGGACTCCCACGGGGACCCGACTCCACCCCTACCCGAGCAGGTGCACGGCCGACAGATGGCAAGCCTGCCGAGGGCCCTGCATGCACCCAACACACTCGCTGTACCTCACAAGACCTCTCCTTCCATAACTAAGCCCAGGTGAAAATCAAGAAACACGCCCACATCTCCACCAAGCCCCCTGTCCCCAGCTAAAGCCACGGGCACTCAGGCACGTACCTCCTTCAGACTCACGGGCTGTGCAAAAATCCTCGCAGGGTCTTTCTCCTGCAGCTGGTCCAGGACGGAGCGCAGCAGCACCGTGAGCGGGGTCAGCCGCAGCTCCAGGGCCATCTGCTCCACCTTCACCTGCAGTGACAGCACCTCCTAAGACACCGCGGCCCCAATACCCCAGGCCCCACCTGCACGCCCGGGGCCGCCCGGGGCCGCCTGCACACCCAGGGCCCCACCTGCTCGCGCTTCAGCTTCTCCCGCTTGCGTAGCAGCTCAATCAGCAGGCGGGCACGCTCCAGGTCATGGCGCAGCCGCTGCCAGTACTTGAGCTTCTCTTTGGCAGCTTTCATTTCCTCATCGTTTTCTCTCTGAAAAACATCATCAAGCCTCTTGTCAGTCAGACCAAGAGGCCCCTCCCCCTAAGGGGCGCACACAGCCCCCTCCCTCACAGGAAGAGCAGCTGATGGGGCCCTCCTCCAGTGCAACTGGACCAAATCACCAGCACACGACTCATCAGGGCGTCATGTGGGGTTCTCTGGCATGACACCAGTGTCCCCGGGCAGGGACAGCAGCGGGCCCCTACACACACAGAACCCACACGGACCATGCAAGACTGCCCCCAACAGGATGTGCTCCAGTCCCACGCCCAGGTCACTCTCAAAGGCCACGACAGGGACAGGAGCACCCAGGCCAGGCAGCCAGATGATGAAAGAAGCCTCCCTGGGGAGCACGAGGGGCTGACCGTCCCAGAACAGGCCCTGCTCTGCCCACACAGCAGCATGAGGCAGGGCCAGGCACTCCCATCTCTGCCCGCAGCACCCCCACTAGGCACTTGGCTCTCACACCAGCAGCCCCAGGCGGGCACAGGTTCCCAGTCCTGGAGTGCATCTGTGCCGGTGAGCGGCATGGAAACTAGGCAAAGGGCAGGGTGCCCACGGGTGTCCAGAAGCCCTGCGCACAGAGGAGGCACACACAAGGCAACGGGCAAGCTGGTGGGACACAGCCCAGCTCCTGCCAAGAACCACACAGTGTCTGTGACCAGAGCACCGCTGGCCAGGGCTGCACAGAACCGGCTCCAAGGAGAGGTGAGAGCGCTGAAGAGGCAGTCGGGCACCGGGCAGCTGCAGCCAGCTCTGGAGAACTCCCGGCAGCACCACCTCCCGCAGCATACAAAAGGCCGGGAGGTTCCCAACAGCAGCTTGTAGAAGCCCCTTCCCATGAGCTAGAGGACACACCCAAGAACACTACACGTGACCCAGTGACCGGCAGGCACGTCCACATGGGTCAACACCAGCAGACACAACTTGCCAGCCTGGTGCAGGGAGGACACTGCCCGACTCACCTGCAAGGCGGTGGCCACATGCCATGCCTCCCCAGCACTCCCAGCGACCCTCCCAAAGCCCCAAGCCGACATCCACTCTGGGGCTCCACAGTGTGGAACTCGAACAGGACCTCAACAGTGCAAGGCTGCCCCCACAGGTCAGCTGCCACCCAGGGCCAAGGCCATACAAGGACCTGCAGGCGGGACCCTCGGACTGGCCCACCCCGGGCCTGCCTCCCTGAGGGACCAATGCACTATGGAATGGTGGACCCGGAGCACAAGCCACCAGGGGTCGTGATGACATCCTGGAGTTCTGTCTTCAAGAGACAGAGGCTGATCTGCTGTGGAAACAGGTCCAGCTCTCCCATGGGGGGTGGGCAGGAGGCCAGCTACTTGAGCCCCCCAGCCCCCTGGTGTCCCCCTAGGGTGCACAGGAGCAGAAGCTGGGATTCTAGACTTCAGGGCTCAGCCCAGCGTTTCATCCCTGGAGTCCCACGGCCTCCACTTCCTCTCCTGCGTCAGGAAGTGCAACACCAGGTACTGAGCCTGCCAACAGGCCCCAGCTCTCACTGCCCCCAACCAGGCTGCCCTGGCCCAGCTCTCATTGCCCCCAACCAGGATGCCCTGGTCCAGCAACACCTGTGTCACAAACCTACATCCCGCATGCCCACCAGAACAGGAGCCCAAGGTTCACAGCAGAGTTCCCAGCTCTGCTGCAGAAAGAACTACAAGGAATTCCAGAAGGTTCGACAGCCCTAGCCCTTCCCGAGGACTGCTCACTTCTCACCAAGTGAGCAAGGGATTGGCACTGTGGCACAGCAAGCTAATCCTCCACCCTGTGACACTGGCATCCCACATGGGCACAGGTTTGTGTCCTAGCTGCTCCACTTCCCATCCAGCTCCCTGCCTGTGGCCTGGGAAAGCAGTGGAGGATGGCCCTAAGCCTTGGGACCTGCACCCGTGTGGGAGACCCAGAGGAGCTCCTGGTTCCTGAAGAGCTCAGCTCTGGCCAGGGTGGCCTTTCGGGATGAACAGACAGAAGACCTCCCCTCACGCTCTCTCCATAAAACCTGCCTTCCAAAGGACTAAATAAATACATCCTTAAAGTACGGCAAGCAGAAGGCCCTGCCATGGAGCTCGGCCAATGTCTATTCTGTGATCAGATGGCTTCGCAACATCAGATGGCGCCACCAACTCAAGTCGACTACTAAAACATGAAGGACCGTGGGAACTGCTCCTGCCTTCCCGGCCTCTGCGACTCAATGCCAACCCAGCCGCAGCACAGGGCCCTGCAGCGTCCACTCCCGGCTCACACACAGACCCAGCCCCTGAACAGCTCCTGCCGCCTCCCCTGGAAGGCCACACAGCCAAGGTGGTGGAGGGCTCGTACAAGTACTGCTACATTGGCAGACTCGGTGGGGAGGAGGCAGAGAGCCCAAGAAAGCTCAGGGCACGCAGAGACGGAGGTCGGCACCATGGCTAGCCGCACAGCTGGGCCAGGGCCGTGGGTGACGGGCAGGAGGGACCACGTACCTGCTGTGTGCTCCTCTGGGACTGCAGGCTGGACTGCAGCCGCCGCAACAAGGGGGCGCCGTTTCTGGACAGCCTCTTGAGCAGCCAGTAGCTGTGGGCTCGCTCCACAAACTGCTTCTTTCGTTGAATGGCCACCTGGTTTGCAATCCTGTTCAGTCTGAAACACAGAAAACTCAGTGTATCTGGGAAGCAGCAGGTGGGGACACGGCACAGCAATGGCGGGGACGGCGTCGCCAACTCCTCCCGCCAGGCGCCACCGACACTCAAGAGCTCCCGCCATCAGACTTAGACACCACAAGCACTGGCCGGTGGGCTCTGTGTACCCCTGTGGATCCTAGGCTAACCCTCACCCTCACCCAGCCAGGTGACCACGGCCTTCCCAGGAGGAGCCTGGCACAGGAAGGCCGGCCCTCGCTCACCCTCCCTCCTCAGTCAGAGCTCGGACCTAAGCATCTTCTCCTGTCGTCTCCCTCCCGGCCCACTCCACCCTGAACACAGACAAGTGTGTCTGTGAGTTCCTCACCTTTTAAATAAACTTCATTTTAAAAACCTTTTTGAAAAAGTCATGCCAAGCAAATCTGGGAAAGGGGTAAACAATGGAATATAAAGGAAAACACCCAGACCACCAATTAAACAGACCCCGTACGCAGCAGGAACCTCGCTAAACACACCAATTAAACCAGTCAGGGCCAACCTGGCCCTGGTGCAGGGCCCTGGAGCGCCCACTCCAGTGGGCAAAGTGGCTCTGTTCAAAGCCGAGCTTTAACAAAAACAAAAACAAAAACCTAGCTTTAAAACACTGCAAGGCTGAAGAGATGAGGAAAACCCCAGGTGGGGAGGAGGGCTGAGGGGCGAGGGGCGAGGGATTGAGGGGCGAGGGATTGGGGGTGAGGGCTGAGGGGTGAGGGGCGAGGGATTGAGGGGCGAGGGATTGGGGGTGAGGGCTGAGGGGTGAGGGGCGAGGGATTGAGGGGCGAGGGCTGAGGGGTGAGGGATGGAGGGGTGAGGGATTGAGGGATTGAGGGATTGAGGGGTGAGGGATTGAGGGGTGAGGGATTGAGGGGTGAGGGATTGAGGGGTGAGGGGTGAGGGGTGAGGGATTGAGGGTGAGGGATTGAGGGATTGAGGGGCGAGGGGTAAGGGATTGAGGGGTGAGGGATTGAGGGGTGAGGGCTGAGGGGTGAGGGGTAAGGGATGGAGGGGTGAGGGATTGAGCGACGGGGGGAGGGTGATCGCACAAGGATGACTCCAAGCCAGAGGTTCCGTAACATCAAACACAAACCTTCCACCGCACCAAGAACCTGTGAAACCTACAGCCACCAGGAAACTACTCAACAACAAAGGCTACAAGACACTACAAAGAAAATACCCACGCTATTCTGGAGCAAAACTGACAACCTGCCAGAGCACAGCCCGAGTGCGCATGCGGCTGTGCGCTGACCACCACACAGGTGACAGATCAGTGGTTGTTCATTAGTATTATTATTCTTTTGTTTGGAAGACAAGGGGCTCCTCCCTCCCTGGCTCACTCCTCAAATGCCTGCCACGGGCCGGGGAAAGCACCTACATTCCAAGTGGTGGCTGAACCATCACCACACCCACCCTGAAATCAAGTTTCAAAAAATAAATTTGGCAAATAAAGCCATGCAATGTAACACGACAACATGGGAATGGAAGGGCCCTCCCCTCACCTACCAGAACAGGGGGAAGCTGGGGTGCACGGGGTGGGGGGCGATGCAGACACCAGGGAGAAGCCGGAGTAACAGGGGAGGCAGCAGGAGACGCAGACACCAGGGAGAAGCCAGGAGAAGCTGCGGTGAATGGGGGAGACGCGGACACCAGGGAGAAGCCAGGAGAAGCTGGGGTGAATGGGGGAGACGCGGACACCAGGGAGAAGCCAGGAGAAGCTGGGGTGAATGGGGGAGACGCGGACACCAGGGAGAAGCCAGGAGAAGCTGGGGTGAATGGGGGAGACGCGGACACCAGGGAGAAGCCGGCGGGAGGCAAGGGGAACCAGGAAACCACCGTGTCCTCTGCAGTACTGCTGGTAAGGCTGTGGGTGCCAGCCGCCCCTGCTAGCGAGCCTGGGGAAGCAGGGGACATGTCCCGCGTGCTCGGGGACCTGCACCACACAGCAGAACCAGAGTTCCGGGCTTCTGGCTTCAGCCCAGCCCTGGAGTCGTCTGGGGAGTAAAACAGAGTGGACAGAAGATACCGCTCTCTGTCTCTCTGATAATACGATCTTACAACACCCAGAGCCCCGAGAGCCCACTGAGGAACACACACCCAACTGAAGGACTGCGTGGCAGAACAGGTCGGACCAGACGTGGACCTGGTGAGAAGCCAGCGGAACCGGTGGAGCCGGCCTCCAACAGGCCACCCAAAGGGACCCACGCTGTGAGGCAGGGCCATGGAGGCCGTGGGAACAGAGTTTTTGCAAGAGAAGCCTGGAGGCCGTACAGCTCCGCGTGTCCTAGCACCTGCCATGGGGCTGGCCACGGAGACAAAGCCGGCCACCCCACCCCGGGTGCTCACAGCACTCCACACGCCTCCCGACACCCAAAACTTGCGCCCCTCAAAGGGCACCATGAGACCCTAAAAAGACAGCCCAAAGAACCAGAGCTAGTGTGCGCACTTGTGAAAGCTCTCAGAGCACCGAGAAAAGCCACGCCAGGACCCGGTCACCTCACCAAGCCCTTCCCACAGCACGCAGACAACAGCCCGGCAAGGCTCCTCCTCAGGACGAAACACAGCCACGTCAGGAAGTCTACAGATGTTCAGAGCACACGGGGCACAGCCCCAGGGGGACAAGGAGGCAGACTGGGGTGGTGGGCACAGAGTTGGTGGGCCAAAATGTTCAGATATCAGATGGACAGCAAGAGTGACCAGCGGTGTGTCTCACAGGACAGCAGGACACCTGTCGGCAGGAAGACACGGCGCCCGCGGCTGCCCACCATACCCACAGCAGCTCTCCCACCCTGACCTGGTGCTGACTTGCAGGGTGGCCTTCCCGCACACACACCGGGAGGGCAGCACGCTGCCATGGTGACGGCTGGACAGGCCCTGCTCAGAGGGCCATGCCTCGGGCCCGTGTTCCCAGTCCTTGGCAGATCATAGCACAAGTACGCGACACCCGTGGCCTGGACTCCCAAGGCGGCCACGTGTCCTAAGTCACTACAAGCTGAACACGCTTTTAACACGCTCACTGATGTAGTGGCTTATGCCAAGCCCGGGCGGGAGTGGAGGGGTCTGGAAACACATGGCAGCCTACCTGGCACAAGGCTTCCGCTGAGACAATGCTGAGTGTCTCGCATACACACAAATGGGCATTATAAATCGCCAAACACAAAAGCTAACATCCAGAAACCTGGCACCACCACCCACAGCCCCTTCGCTGCCACGAGGTCCTGCCACACAGCAGCCTCAGGACAGAGCCAGACTCCACACTCAGAAAACCATTCCTAGGCCCGGCGCAGTGGCCTAGCAGTTAAAAGTCCTCATCTTGAACGTGCCAGGATCCCATATGGGCGCCGGTTCTAATCCGGGCAGCCCCGCTTCCCATCCAGCTCCCTGCCTGTGGCCTGGGAAAGTAGTCGAGGACGGCCCAAGGCCTTGGGACCTGCACCTGTGTGGGAAACCCAGAAAAAGCTCCAGGCTCCTGGTTTCAGATCGGCTCAGCTCCGGCGTTGCAGCCACTTGAGGAGAGACTCAGCAGATGGGAAGATCTTCCTCTGTCTCTCCTCTGGTCACAATGGCTCAACTTCCTAATCCTCCACCTGCAAGCACCAACATCTCACATGGGCACTGGTTCGTGTTCTGGCTACCCCACCTCACATCCAGCTCCCTGACCATAGCACGGGAAAGCAGGTGGGTCGGCACAAAGCCATGGGGCCCTGCACTCGCATGGGAGGTTCCTGGCTCCCAACCTCGGACGGACTCGGCTCCAGCCACTGCAGCCATTGGGAAGTGAACCAGTGGATGGAAGAGCTTGTCTCTCCTTCTTTCTGCAAATCTGCCTTTCCAATAAAATTTTTAAAAAGGAAAAACAAAGAGAAATGAGTTCAAGGAGTCTGAGTCTTTTTTTTTTAAAGATGTATTTAGTTTTATTGAAAAGGCAGATATAGAGAGGAGGAGAGACAGAGAGGAAGATCTTCCGTCCAATGATTCACTCCCCAAGTGACTGCAACGGCCGGTGCTGCGCCAATCCGAAGCCGAGAACCAGGAATCTCTTCCAGGTCTCCCACGCGGGTACAGTGTCCCAAGGCTCTGGGCCATCCTCGACTGCTGTCCCAGGCCACAGGGAGCCGGATGGGAAGTGGGGCTGCCAGGATTAGAACCGGCACCCATATGGGATCCCGGCATGTGCAAGGCGAGGACTTTAACCACTATGCTATTGTGTCGGGTCCAAGCTCAAGGAGTCTTACTCTGGCATATACAAGATGAATCTGAAACATCTTCCTCAACTTCCTCTAGCTTAGGCACCTGCAGGGCACTCTGCACCCAGATTACCCAAGGAGCAGGAGGCCTCTGGGGGCCGGGCCCCCACGTGCACCTCCAATGGGGGCACTGCCCGTGATGTCAGGCATTCACAAAGTCCCATTCCTTTCCCCTTCCAGAACCTTCTCTTCCTTCACACATCCTACCTCATCAAGCCAAATGGGACAAGCTATGACCAGAGGGTGGGGACACTGCCAAGGGCAATGAGGGGCCTGAGCTGTGCAGAGAGCTAAGCTCGGCATCCGACAAGTGCTGGCACATGTCCAGGACGTGCCACTGCATCCAGCCACCTGCTCACACACCTGGGCCCCACACCCATGTCCACAGAAGACACCGATGAAGTTCTGGCTCCTGACTTTAGCCCCGGCTGTTACGGCCATTTGGGGAGTGAACTAGGAAGTCAAAGATCTCAGTATCTGTCTCTCTTTGTAACTCTGCCTTTCCAATCATCGACTCTTCAAAAAACAGGGGGAAAGGAAGCTAGCATCATGGCACAGCAAACCAAGTCACCAGCTGCGACTCCAGAGTCCCACACGGGGGCTAGTTCAAGTCCCACATGCTCCACCTTTTTGTTTTTATTGTTGTGGTGGTAGTTTGCTTTTTTGGTTTTTTGTTTTTGTTTTTTTTTTATTAAAAAGTCAGATTTACAGAAAGACGGAGAGAAGGAGAGAAGGATGTTCCGTCCGCTCCCCAAGTGGCTGCAATTCCCGGAGTTGAGCTGATCCGAAGTCAGGAGCCAGGAGTTTCTTCCGGGTCTCCCGCACGACGCAGGGTCCACGCGGCTTTGGGCCGTCTTCGACTGCTTTCCCAGACCACAAGCAGGGAGCTGGCTGGGAAGTGGAGCTGCCGGGATATGATCCATGCCCGTATGGGATCCCGGCACTTGCAAGGGGAAGACTCAATGGACCCACCACACAGAGCCCGGGGCGCCACTTCTGACTCAGTTCCCGTCATACACTGGGACAGAGGACTCCCGTGGGAGTGGGGCGGCCTGGTGCATGTGTCTACCCCGGCCCCATCTGTTTGTTCAACAAACAAATCTCATTTTAAGGGTGGGGGAGGAAGACAGAAACAAAGCAGCTCCATGCAACCACAGCAGCTCAAGGCTGAGCAGCGCAGGAACACAGCAGCGCAGTGTCCCAGAGATGCCCTGCTGTCAAACTCAGACCTTCCTAGAGAGGGCGAGCCAGGACAGAGATCTTCCATCCTCTGGTTCACTCCCCAAAGGACCACAACAGCTGGGGTCAGGCCAGGCTGAAGCCAGGAGCCAGGAGTTTCTTCCAGGTCTCCCATGCACTGGGACCACCCTCCACTGCTTTCCCAGGTACCTTAGCAGAAAGCGGGATGGGAAGTGGAGCAGGCGGGACTCGAACCTCACAAGCACCTGCTCTGCCCACTATGCCAGCCCCAAGAACACAGCACTGGCGCCAAGCACAAGGAGGGCCAGGATCTTAGTTGCGTGAGGCGGCAGGGGCCGCCAAAGTCAGAGTCCAGCACTGCAGCTGCACTCCACAGCCCCACGCCCGAGGGCTCAGCAGTGTCTCAAGGCACAGGCGTCGCCGCATTTGCCCAGCGGTGGGCAAAGCACCTTCACCCCAAAATCTGTCCTCTAGAGAAATAACACAGTTGTGATCTGAAAGTGCTCGGGACAGCAGCACTGTGTACGATGGGTAAGCCAGTACCTAGGACGCCTGGCCTCAAGTTAGCTGTGTCTGTGATCCCGAGGACACACACCCCGGGAAGTGGATCCAGCTTCCTGCCAACCCCACGGGAGACCAAGACAGAGCTCCTGGGTCCTGTCTTCCACCTGACCCAGCCTCAGCTGTCGAGGGCCTTTGGGGATGGAAGACCTGTTTCTGTCATTCTGCCTTTCAAATAAATGAAATATACAAAACTTTATTTTTAATTGGAAAGGCAGATAATCGGAGAGAAGGGGAGTCACAGAGGAAAGACACTCCTGCTGCTTCACTCCCCAAGCAGACACAATGCCCAGAGCTGCGCTGATCCGAAGCCAGAAGCCAGGAGCCAGGAGCTCCCTCCGGGTCTCCCACACGGGTGCAGGGTCCCAAGGCTTTGGGCCGTCCTGCACTGTTCTCCCAGGCCACCAGCAGGGAGCTGGATGGGAAGAGGAGTAGCCGAGAATGAACCAGCACCCATGGGATCCCAGTGGATGCAAGGGAAGATTCAGCCACTAGGTTATCCACCGCGCTGACCCCAACAAAACTTTGAACAAACGCCAAACAGTAAAGACTCCGTGGGGGACGGGGGAAGGGTGCCACAGCAGGCTAGCGGCCTGGGATATCTGCACCCCCACTCCCAATCAGGCAGGGCGATAACCCCATGAGCGCTAGTTCAAGTGCTCACTGCTCCACTTCCGATCCCACTCCTTGCTAAAGCGCAGACGGAACAGTGGGAGACCCAGGTGGAATGCAGGCTCCTGCCATGAGCCTGTCCCCCAGCCAGACGCAAATCCTTGCCTTTCAGCAACTCTCCCACTCACAGAGGGACCAGAGGAAGAAAATTATCCAACACTTGAGCCACAGGGCACAAAAAGGGATCGCCAGAAAACATCCCTGCCCAGGCAGGCGGCCCTGCCAGACAGAAGGCCTCACCTGGACAGGCAGCCCTGCAGCCCTGGCCCCGCCGGACAGGCGGCCCTGCAGCCCTGGCCCCGCCGGACAGCTGGCCCTGCTGGACAGGCAGCCCTGCAGCCCTGGCCCCGCCGGACAGCTGGCCCTGCTGGACAGACAGAAGGCCTCACCCCGACAGTGGCCCTGCTGGACAGGCAGCCCTGCAGCCCTGGCCCCGCCGGACAGGCAGCCCCGCAGCGCTGGCCTCACCGGACAGGCGGCCCCGCCGGACAGAAGCCCTCACCCCGACAGCAGCCCCGCAGCGCTGGCCTCACCGGACAGGCGGCCCCGCCGGACAGAAGCCCTCACCCCGACAGCGGCCCCGCAGCGCTGGCCACAGAGGAGAGCCCTTTACACTTCTGTCCTTTCAGTTGTTAGGTCCCATCTTTTTTTTTTCTTTTACTACAATTCCACTAAGACTGACATTCTCAGGTCTCTTAAAAAAAAGTTTTTGATGCAAATTCTAAGCCTTCTGACTCACTAGTGGAAATGCAAGGGGACCCCAGCAGCCCACTGGCTGGCTCTGAAGGCCACGCCCCCCCGCAGCCAGGGCACCGCCCACCCTCCTGTCTTACCAAAGCAGCAAGGTTCCCCTTCAAGAAAAATCAGCAAAATAGAATATTTGCAAAGTCAGGTCACTTTAAACTTGCGATTTCTTTTTTGGGACATCTTCCAAAACTGCCTCATGCCCCAAACGGGCCAAGAGCAGGGCGGCAGGGATTCGAGCACCCTTGGGTGCTCTGTAGTGCAAGGCAGAGCCAGGAGTCCTGCACCCTGTGCAGGATGCCAGCACACCCGAGCACCAACCCAACTGCCGGGCTTCAGCCCAGCCCTAAACTTCCAATGCTTAACACAAAATAGGGGCGTGTTCCTCTGGGGCTAAACGCACCCTAGCCCGAGAGCTGCCTATCCACACACATGGCCCAGATCCACAGCAAACACCACCACAGGACTGCACCCCAACAGAACACCCCCAGGACCAGACAGCTCCAGGGATACGGGGCCAAGGCTGCACTCACTGGCCAAGCTCAGACAGGCTCCTGGGGTGAAGAGGCACTTGTCCACGCGCCTCATGTCTCACAGGACAACACAGCACGAGGCCAGCACTGCCTGCAACACAGCAGTCCCCCACCGGTGCCGGCCTGAGGCTCGCTCCCTGAGGAGGGGCCTGGGAAGGCCACGGAGGACGGTCCTAGTCCCTGGGCCCCTGCACCCACATGGGAGGCTTGGAGGAAGTTCCTGGCTCCGGCCCGGCCTACCGGGTAGCCGACCAGCAGGAGGAGGATCTTTCTCTACGCTTCTCCCTTTCTTCTCTAACTCTCTCAAATAAGTGAATCTGTTTTAAAACACAAAACATGGAACAAGAGATCAAGCAGAGAGACGCAGAAGCTGAGCCCACATGGCCTGCCCCAGTGCCCAGGGGTCAAGGAGGGGAGCGTGCAGGGTACCAGGCTGCCGTCCACCTGGGCCCCGGCGGGCCCTGCCTCCCTGCTCGACCAGTGCGCTTCCTTCTCCGACAAACTGCCTTGTTCAGCTGGCAGGCGGAAGGGACAGAGCCCAGCACTCCAGGGCCTCCTCACCGTGTTCCAGAGGGTGATGCCTTGTGGGCCGCTGCCAAGCACTGTCACCCTCCTTCGCAGGCGGCTTCAGCCTGGCGAGGTGTGCAGGAAGCCCCACACATCTTCTGCAAGACTCCACCTTGCACCGGGTCTGCCCTCGGAACTGAAGGCACGAGAGCAGAGGGCCCCGCGAGCCTGCCCGCCGCCCCCGGCCCGCTCACCTCTGGGGGGGAATGTACGGGGCGCACACGGTCGGGAGGCCCGCCGCACAGGGCTCCGCCAGGGCCTTCTTGGACTTCTTGGCCTTCTTCCTGACCTTGGACGAGGACCTGACGGCTTTCACGGAGGCCTCTTTGCGACAGAGCCCGTTCTTTACCTCCACGTCCCCGTAAATGTTGAGAGGCCTGCGGGTGCAGCCTGGAGGGGTGTGCACGTCGCAGTAGGCAGTCTTCCTCACGGAGAAGGTGGTGGTCCCGCCCGCGAGCTCCTTCACGGGCTCCATCTTCATGTAGAGGCCGGCCTTCTGCGCGCACGTCACGTGGAAGGCCGTGTAGCAGTTGGCCTTGTGGCACTGGATGCAGGCGCCCACGCCCTTCTGCTTGCAGAGGTAGCACGTCAGCTTCCAGCGGGCAGGGGGGATGCTCCTCACCCCGTCGATGGGCTCGATGAAGACCGTGTTGGCGAAGCCCACCTCCGGGATCCACAGGGCGCACACCACGTGGCCCCAACGGCCGTCGTCCGTCTTTTTGAAGGCGCCGCCCTTGTTGGGACACAGGACGCAGTCCGCGGGCCGGGTGCGGGCCTGCAGGCAGTGGCGGCAGAGCCACTGGCCCTCGGGGATGTAGGGCACGCCGTAGCACTCCTGGTGCACGGCCAGGTTGCAGAGGTCACAGAAGAGGATGGCGTTGCTGTCCTGGCACTCGCCGTCCATGCACACGCAGCACACGGCGTCCTCGTCCACGAGCGACTGCTGCTCCCCCTGCTTCTGGTTCTCGCAGTACGACTCCTTCTCGAAGCGGTCCATCAGGAACTCGAACATGCTCTGCGACACGGCCGAGACGCAGTCGCCCTTGCGCTTCTCGTTGACGATCTCCAGCCAGGCGTAGTCCTCCTCGTCCATGTCGTACTCCACCTCGTTGTCCAGCTCCTCCGCCGACTTCTCGATGAACTTGTAGTACCCGGGGGGCCTCCGGGGCGCGGACGGGGGGCTGTACTCCACGATGCGCACCTTGGGCTCGGGCAGGGCGCTGGCCGAGGCCGGCGCGCCATGGCTGCTGACCAGCGCCTCGTGCTTCTTCTTGACGCGGCTGTTCTTGTGCCGCTTACTCCTCAGGCACACCGGCGGCCGCTCGCGGTTCTCCTTGTTGCTGTTGCACTCGCTCATCTCCTGCGCGGTGAGGTCATCCTCTAGTATGATCTCAAGGGGATCGAAGATACTGATCCTGTGCAAGCGCCCCTCGATCTCGATCTCCACCATCCTCTGCGCCTGCGCGTAGGTCAGCGTCTCGCGCGTCGGGGAGTGCTTAACACTGCACGGGGAGGACGGGTGCCTCGCTGCAGAGCCTCGGTGGCATCGTCCTTTCCTCCTCATTTGGCAATGATTACCTGCAACAGACCACAGGCAGGTCAGCTCGGCCCTCGCGCTCCCACAGCCACACTCGGTAACCCTGCCGCCACAGTGGCTCCTCCCGGACCACAGAGCCACAAGGACCGCCGCCCTCCCCGTCGCCCAAGTCCCTCTGGCATACCACCACCCTCCAGAAAGCAGGCCCTTGCCTCAGCCCAACTGGAGTGACCGCCTACTGGGCAGCCCGTCCGCAGAGGTCCGCGCACGGGGCTGAACCCCAGATCAGGCACACTTACACACACTGCTCCCCACTACTGCCCTGCACAGCGCCCCCAAGAGACCACCTACCCTCCTCTCAGGGTGGAAGCTCCGCTGGAGGCTGCAGGCTTCTACAGCCCTACCAGAGGAGGAGGCAGGCCACCTGAGCCTGCCCTCCCCTCCATGGCCCGTGTCACTAGGACGCAGGCCGCACCCCCTCCATGACCTACCCACACGCATGCTGGGATGCAGACCGCACCCCCTCCATGACCCACCCACACGCATGCTGGGATGCAGACCGCACCCCCTCCATGGTCCACCCACACGCATGCTGGGATGCCGGGCACACCCCCTCCATGACCCACCCACACGCATGCTGGGATGCCGGGCACACCCCCTCCATGGCCCGTCCCCACGCATGCTGGGATGCAGGCCGCACCCCCTCCATGGCCCGTCCACACGCATGCTGGAATGCCGGGCACACCCCCTCCATGACCCACCCACACGTCCACACACACATGCTGGGACGCAGGCCGCACACCCTCCCCTCCATGGCCCGACCACACACATGCTGGGATGCAGGCTGCACCCCCTCCATGACCCTCCCACGTGTGTCAAGGCCAAGGTATAGACGCACTAGCCTCTCCAAGATTCGAGGGGAGCTCTGCGGGGTCTGGGGGAGCATGCCACCCTGAAGGCCCTGACAGTCTATGCAGAACCCCCGCGGTGGCCAGCCAGCCACTCTCGGGGACACCTCCGCCTGCCCTGGCGACCCTGAGCCCAGCAGCTCAGGGCTGCGAGCCCTGCCCACCAGGGGCGGGAGGCCCTGAGCTCCCCACGCTGGCTCCTGGCGTGGAGGCCTGCCCCCAGCCGCCCAGCGCCCCCAGCCGCCCAGCGCCCCCAGCCGCCCAGCGCCCCCAGCCGCCCAGCGCCCCGGGGTCGCAGGTGTCACGGCCGGCAGCGGCGGTGGGCGGGCCCTGCCAGCTGCAGGCTTCGCACCTGCCGAGGGACTCGCGGGGGACCCGAGAAGGCAGTTCCCTGCCAGGAGGAAGCTGGAGGACACGGGGCAGCCACGCCCCGACTCACCGGCAGCCCAGGGGCCTCCGGGGCCGCGGGGGCGAGCGGCAGTCCCCGGGGCACGGCCGGCCTGTCATTACCCACAGCCCGGCGGAAGCAACAGTTGGTTCCAGCCCAGCCGGCAATCTTCTGCTCAGCAGCAGCACCGAGCAGGCCCCGGAGCCCCCCGCCCCACGTGGCCCCCGCGGCCCGACGCTCCCGAAGCCGCGCGGCCCCGAGCTAAGTTTCCGCCCGCGCCGCGGCCCCAGGCGTTGCCGACCAGCGCCGCGCGGGGCGAGGCCGCCGGCCACGGGGGGAGTTCCGGCCGCGGCCGGGTTACATAAGGCCACCGCCACCCGCCCAAGGCCCGGAGCCACGGCCCTCGCCCGAGCGCGGCCGACAGCGGCGCCCGCCCGCGGCCCGCACGTCTCCCGGCCTCCCGGGCCCGGCCGCTCCCACCTGGCGCGCCCGCCCGGGCCCCGCCGCCCCGCCGCCGGCCCGGCCTCCCGCCACTCGCCGCCGCCGCGGCCTCCGGGGGCCGCTCGGCCCGCTCGCCCGGCCGCCCGCGGACAATGCGGAGCCGCCGCCGCCGCAAACATGGCGTCCGCACCCCCACCCCGAGAGGCCGGGCCGAGGCGGCCGCCGCTCCGCGAGGCCCCGGAGAGCCCTCCCGGCCACCCCCGCCCACTCACCTCCGGGGCGCCGCGGCCGCGGGAGCCCGGCGGGCGGGCGGCGGGCGCGGGACCGGCGCGGCCGAGGCGGCGCTAATGGCGCCCGCGGCTCCTCCGCCAACGGCCGCGCAGGCCGGGCCCCGCCGCCGCTCAGGGCGCGGGCGAATGGCCGCGGCGGCTGCGGGCCCGGCGGAGAGGCCGCGGCGGCGGGCGCGGGCGGCTCGCGCGGCGCCGGCGGGGCCGGGCTGCAGGCCCGGCTCGGGGCCCGGCCGGCGGGCGCGGGGACGGGGCGGGGACGGACGCAGCTCGGGCGCGGGACTTCTCAGACGCCGGGGCCGGCCGCTCGCTCCCCAGCGAAGCAAACAATGCGGCGAGCGCTCCGCCCGGCGCCTGCGTGCTCGGCGCGCCCCGCCCGCCGCCGCCATGACGCCGCCGCCGGGGGAGGGGCGAGCGGAAGGGCCGGCGCTCGGGCGGCCGGGTGGGCCCGGGCCGGGGCGGCGGGGAAGCCGGGCCGGAAGAGGCCGGGGCCGGGAGTGGGGGTGCTAGGGAAGCCGGGTGGAAGGGGCTGGGGTGCTGAGGGAAGCCGGGGCCGGGAGTGGGGGTGCTGAGGGAAGCCGGGCCGGAAGAGGCCGGGGCCGGGAGTGGGGGTGCTAGGGAAGCCGGGAGTGGGGGTGCTAGGGAAGCCGGGAGTGGGGGTGCTAGGGAAGCCGGGTGGAAGGAGCTGAGCTGCTGAGGGAAGCCGGGGCCGGGAGTGGGGGTGCTGAGGGAAGCCGGGGCCCGGAGTGGGGGTGCTGAGGGAAGCCGGGGCTGGGAGTTGGGGTGCTGAGGGAATCCGAGTGGAAGGAGTTGGGGTGCTGAGGGAAGCTAAGTCGAAGATGAGGCTCGGGGACCGGGAGGTGGGGTGCCGAGGAAAGCCAGATCGAAAGAGCTGGGCTCATGAGGGAAGCCAAGTCGAGGGGGTTGAGGTGCTGAGGGAAGCCAAGTCGAGGGGGTTGGGGTGCTGAGGGAAGCCGGGATCCAGAAGAGCCTCAGAGACCTGGAGTTGGGGTCCTGAAGGGACCTGGGGTCCAGTGATCCAAAGAGGCTCGAGGGCCAGGAGTTAGGGTCCTGAGGGCACCCTGGAGTCGAGGGGTCGGGGTTCGCGCCAGGGCTGGAGACAGATTCCCCCTAACCCTGAGGGGGGGTTCTGGGTCAGCTCTCAGGGAAGTGAGGACCCTAAAGGGGCTGGGGGTCAGCAGGTGGGGACTCAGACACCCACGGTCGTGGTCCTAAGGGGTTTCCAGGCTGGAGTTGAGGTCTGAGGGCCCCATAGACCACGTCTTGGGGTGGTGTATTGAGTGTATTGAGTGGAGGTCTTGAGAGGGTTGGAAGGTGGGGATCCTGAGGAGACTGGGGTGAGAACATCTGGACCAGGCGATGGCGCTCTGGGTCATTGGGCTTTGCAGACTGGCCAGGACTGCAGCCACAGAGGGTACGCTCTGAAGTTGGGAGTGAGGGGCAGGACCTGGATGCTGCAATGCTTGGGGATCCCCACACCTAGACTGTTTTTCTCACGACTAGCAGAGGTGGGCCCATTTGGATATTTGGGGGGGGGGCACAGAAATCACCATCTGATAAGTTTACCTGCTGTGGGTTTATTGAATTTTCAGCCCTGCCCACAGCTGCTTTGGCACAGCCAGACCTCATAAGACCTGTCTGGTGCCTGGGTCCTGAGTACCCCCTGCCAAGAGCTGCAGGCACAGGTGTCACCAAGGAACTCTGGGACCTGCAGTCTGCACTTCAGTGGTGTTCTTTTGTTTTGTGTTAAGATCCAGTGGTTGGGCTCAGCGTGGTAGCCTATTGCCTAAGGTCCTCACCTTGCACCTGCCAGGATCCCATATGGGCACTAGTTCTAATCCTGGCAGCCCTGCTTCCCATCTAGTGCCCTGCCTGTGACCTGGGAAGGCAGTCGAGGACGGCCCAAAACCTTGGGACCCTGCACCCGCATGGGAGACTGGAAGACGTTCCTCGCTCCTGGCTTTGGATCAGTTCAGTTCCGTCCATGGCGGTCACTTGGGGAGTGAATCATCGGATGGAAGAACTTGCTTTCTGTCTCTCCTCCTCTCTGTATATCCACCTTTCCAATAAAAATAAATCTTAAAAATCCAGTGGTTTCCTGACTGTTCTAAGTCCAGATTCATCTGGTTTGAGATGAGGGAGAGGCCTAGATGGTGCCTCAGTTTCTCCTGAGGATCTGTGACACGTACCTGGCAATGAGACCATCTGTAGGCTGAGAGGCTTCATGGCAAACCGACAACCCTTCCCCACTGCTGGGACTCAGGAGGATGCTGTACCCAGAGTCCCAGGAACAGGATCCCACGTGGGGCCAGAACCCCATCAGCCTCCCTGCTCACACTTCCTGTGTGGGTTACCAAGGGACCTCTCACAGGCCACGGAGGTAGATTAGGAACACAGCCGAGGTCACCTGGGAGTCTGTCCACCAGAGCTGAAGTGGGGCTGGGCCCAGCCTCGGTGTCCCGGCCACACCCTTCCCCCTCCACACCACCTGAAGGAGCAGACAACAACTTCACACAACCGCAAACGGCATCACAAGTCGTGGGAGAGGTGCTGGGGGGACGGACGAAGGGCTGGGACTCAAAGAAGAGACCAGCCCAGGGGACCTTCTCGGTCTGGTCCAGCTGCCGCTAACATTGCAACATTCCCCGCGGGTTGAACCTGGAAGTCGTATACAGTGATACTAGCCTTCAGGCACGACATCACAAGAGAGGTGTCCTCACAGCCTGCCAAGAGCCACAAGGTCTCAAGGACACATCTTGGCAGAGGGAGGAGGACTGTGAAGTATTGTTTCCTGAGAGGAGTTTTAAATGCTGGGGTGAGCATGGTGGTACCCCAGGTTTCAGCTGCCTTTTAGGAATCCCCTTTCTGTATTGCAGTCCCTTGAGTCCCAGCTACTCCATGCGTCAATGCAGAGCTTCACTCTGGGAGGCATGGATGGTGGGCCAAGGTCTTGGGTCTGCCACAGCCTCCTGGACTTCCTGCCCCTGCCCAGCTGCTGTGATCCAGGAAGGGGGTGGAAGCGAGGAGAAGCAGGTCTTCCATCTGCTGCTTCACTCCTCAGATGGCCCCCGTGGCCAGGGCCGAGCCATCTGAAGGCAGGAGCTTTTTCTGGGTCTCCTGTGAATGCTGGGTCCGAGGCGCCTGGGCAGTCCTCTGCTGCTTTCCCAGGCTGCTTTCCCATCATGCAGTAAGCTGGATGGGCGGTGGAGCAGCCAGAACACAAACCAGTACCATATGCGGTGCCAGAATCACAGTTTTACCCACTACACCCGAACCCCAGTCCCAAGGTTGGAATATAAATGCAGCCATGTAATACATAATGACATTGCTGCCAAGCACTGACTATGCATATAATAAAATCCTATTGAATTGGTAGGGAACTGAAAATTCTAGTGGCATCAGCCATTGCAACACAACTCAACCCTCACATGTTTGCATTTATGTTGGAGTACACAAACCTGTCCTGCCAGTCACGTAGAACCAGAACATACACAACCATGTATAGAACCTCATGCTTCATAACAGCTATGTTATGGCTTTATATGTTTAGCACATTATTTATTTTCATCGTTATGTATGCTCCCTTTTGAGTTGGGCACTTAAACCTGAGCTGTCCATGTACCAGCGTCCCACCCATGCAGACCCCGCAGCACTCTATCAAGTCGGTGAGTTCCCGCTACCAACACAGGGACCTGGGCTGCGCGCCCAGCTCCTGGCTTCAGCTCTGGCCCAGCCCCGGCTGAGCTATGCATTCGGGAAGTGAGCCAGCACATGAGCATCTCTTCCTAGCTGTCTTCTTTATATATATATGAAAACCTGTCAAACAGCAGAAACCTGCCGAGCAACAGCAGTCTCATGTTGTCGGGATTGCGTCAAGACTGCATGTTCGGCCATTAGACTCCATCCAAGATTATGCAGGCATAGTCTGCAATGTTTCCCGGTGGCTCCACTTCCCATCCAGCTCCCTGCTTGCAGCCTGGGAAAGCAGTCGAGGATGGCCCAAAGCCTTGGGACCCTGCACCCATATGGGAGGCCCAGAAGAAGTTCCTGGCTCCTGGCTTCAGATCAGCTCAGCTCCAGCTGCTGCAGTCACTTGGGGAGTGAATCAGCAGATGGAAGATTTTCCTCTCTGTCTCTCCTCCTCTCTGTATATCTGACTTTCCAATAAAAATAAAAATCTTTTTTAAATGGGACGAAGAATGTTTCACGTATCTATCGGTCCAGTTTTGTGTCTACATTATAAAAAAGAAAAGATTGATTTGACAAGCAGAGCACCCATGGTGGCGGCAAGTCTTCTGCCTGCTGGCTCACTCCCCACATGGCCTCAGCAGCCAGGGCTGGACCCAAGTGTAGCCAGGAGCCAGGCACTCCATCCTGGTTCCCACAGTCCAGGGACTGAGGTTGTTCTGCCACCTTCTCAGCTGCATTGGCGGAAGCTGGGCTGTAAGCAGGACACCAGGACACAAACAGGTGCTGCCAGGCCTGGGGTGCCCACGTGACGAGGGACTCTGAATCATATACAAGTCAACGTGTCAGTGTACCTGCTTTCAACAGCCATCGGTGCTCCTCTCCACCAGGCAGACAAGATGGTTGAGTGCCCACGGGCTTTCACTGGCAGTGTATGTCTGAGAAGGTCTGTGGTCCAGCCTGGCATGCCCACCGTGGAGGAGCAGGGCTGCAGCACACGTGAACACGCCCACACAACCCTCGGGGACACACTGGGTGCACCCTGCGCTCTGGCCGACGCGCTCTCAGGCCACAGGTAGTAAGGAAGACACTTTCTGGGGAGCACTGGGGCTCTCAAGGAGCCCCTCTGGCTGCAATGACTGCAGGCCAGCCTGGTCAGCAAGAGTTGGCAGTCCCAGCTAGGAGAAGAGCGAGTGACGGAAACGAGGAAGCAGCCCAGGCCTCAGCACGGCTTGTACCTACTTCCTTCAGAGCCGTCTCCAAGCACAGTTGATTTCCTGGCCCAGGTTATTGCGAAAGGCCATGTGGC